TACTCCTACTCCTACTCCTACTCCTCCTCCTCCTCCTACTCCTCCTACTCCTACTCCTACTCCTACTCCTCCTACTACTACTACTACTGCTACTACTACTACTACTACTACTACTACTGCTACTACTGCTGCTGCTACTACTACTACTACTACTACTACTACTACTACGACTACGACTACGTGCGACTGCGGCTGCGACTGCGGCTGCGACTGCGGCTGCGACTGCCACTACAGTACTGCTACTACTACTTCTCCTTCCATACAACTTGTCGTCATGCTGCGCTCATAGACGCTGATTGGGAGTCCACCTCCGCCGAGTCTGCCTCTGCAGAAGCTGCCTCGAGCGCAGGTCTTAGCATGGCTTATTCAGGGCCGTAGAAACGTTTCAGGGGGTCTTGGCCTAATAGGTTGGATACTGGGGCTTCGCAGGTCTTAAGGATGGGATAGGATGGGTGGGTCTTGTAGCTGATGTCTTTGAAGCTGCACCGTTCTAGATTCTAGGATATTGTCCCCTGACTCCTCAAAACTATTCGCATCTAGGTCCCTGCTGCCTTGTAACAATTAGAAAAATGAGTGTTCGGGGCACGGACTGTCGACCGGGCTGAGTTGGTGAGTTCGCCAAGTTTCGCTCTGGACTCTCGCGCTCGGACACTCCAGGCGAAGCTGTTCAGGTTTCGACTCTCACACTCTCACAAGGCCGGCAAGGCGCCGCGTGGTTCTGTCTCCGCTGCAGAGAGCGACCACTACGCTGAGACGACAACAACAACAACACAAAGCCAGTAAGATTAGCCAAAATTTCGACATGAAACAAGGTGCGGTAGCCATCCCTCTCGTCACTACTGGTTCCACTGAGACGTTGCTCATCTGTTTCAAAATGCTTCTCACGCACTACTGAGAACAACAAGAAACTACTTGCACTTCATCACAAGGAGAGTCAGGGCCGCTAATAGGTAATGTCAACTGAACAAAGTAGAGACTACATGGACCGAAGATAGTGATGCTTTTGCTGGAGTCGGGTGTGTGAAACTTTGCAACCTACAATCTGTTCAGGTTTAGGATTTGGCTTAGGGTTCAGGAAGCATGATTTTTAAAGGGCTACCAGCTCATTTTGGACTCTCGCAACTCGGACTCTGCACATGAGCTCAGTTCAGGGCTTTTCTGCACAAGCTGGGTATGCAGGTGTGCAGATGAGCGTGTGCCTACAGAGGAAAGTCTTTTCAGTGCCACCTACTCTTGTATCTCTTGTGTATTCTTGGGTCTATGTACTCCCGAGCGCTTGCATGTCATATCTTACTCTAAATATTGACCTTACACATGATGTAAAATCCTGGCCCCAGGCTTCAGTTCCGGCCTCACTGGGAGTCACGATGTGGCGCGGCCTCACATTCGGCCCGGCAGCCTCGTGCAAAGAAGCAAAAAACTCAAAATCCCAAAACCTTCAATCTCAGCACGGTTATCAGTTCAAGGCAAAGATCGGCCTGCTGCTTGCGGTTTTGGTTGCACATGCCTGTGTACCTCTTTCAAACTTTAGGCCCACTGGACAGCATGAAGGAATCATGGCCTCCTCGAAAGAACGAGATCCAGCTTCTAGTTCGCGAAGGTCCTGCAGCCGGGGCTTCAACATGCTGTGCTTGATGCGTCGTTTCACATGCCGCGACTCACGCTAGTGCACTTCAGCACATGCAACGTGCGCTCAATTGCCCGATGAAAGTCCAGGCAGCATGCGCGAATGCTCTGCCAGCCTTCTGTGACGACCTTTCGTTGTGTTCGTTGTTCTGGACCACTTCCTGCGATCAGGCATCACATCAACCTAGCTTCGAAGCCCTCATTAAGCCCCGAAGCCACTCAGTCGAATGGGCCCTTCTCGAGCCTTGGCAAAACCTTCCGACGACTGGCAGACAGCTTCAAAGGGTGTGCTGCTTTGGCCAGTAGCGGCCATGAGATCCTGAGTTCAGCTTCCAACTACTTGATTGTGTTTGCTGCGTTGAGAACTCCGATCTTGTGTCAAGTTGACTACCACGATTACACCAAGGCAAGGTGAACCCAACAACAGCGTGGGAGCCGCCTGCAAAGCTTGAATTGAGGGATGTCAGATTCCGAGTATCACAGAACGGCTCATGCTGAACCCCGCAGTATTTTTCCCGCAGCTCTTTTTCCCTGAACCCCACAGTTTAGGGTTTCGGCTCTCACACTCGCCCTGCAGGTTTTGAGTTTCCCCCATGCGTGTTGGATCTCGGGCTTACTACCACTGGAATTGAAACTATTGCTCCTTCATTCCGGGCAATTTTATTGCAACATGTAACATGAGTGCTGTGTGTTTGCTTGCTTGCTTTTGTTTTGCCTCCTGTCCCGCGGTAGCTCACCACAACTGATGTGGGAACTACTGGGTGAATGCAGCAGCAAAATTATGAGAAGATCTTGCGTTGTTGCTGCTTGTGGTTCCGCAAGATTTCCTTCCACTAATTGCTGCTCTGTTGCTGTTACACTTACTACCATTACTGCTCCCAATGCTTTCGCTACCATAACTCAAGAATCTACGTGGTTGCTGTTCCCGTCGTTTTGCGTTTAGCAGACCTTGGAAAATGCATTTGGGTTGGTCGGAGGCTTCAGGAGCTCGATTTGGGTTCGGGGACTCGAACTAGGAACACTAGCAAATCTGAAACAGCTCTAAATGCGCTTTCCAAGCCTTGAAAAATGCATTTTGGTGCCGTAGAATTCGAACAAAAGCATGTTCAGTACGATTTTCGGGGTTAGAGACGGCATTGAGCTCCAGATTGAAACGAGGGCCGACGTGATTGATGGAAAGGATCTTTCAGGTGTCGAAGTCACGAGGAAACAGCAGAGCGAGGAATGCAAGAGCACAGTAACAGGAGTTTAAGGAGGGTCCAGCCACACGGGCTCTCACGTCTCTCTTATGAACAGTCTTCTGGGCTTTTGTTCATTCTTGTTGCGGCCCCTTCGTTTCGGGGGCAGGTCTTCGCAGAGTTTCAACAACCACGTGGAGGTAGGTAGTTCTTGAGCAGCTTGTAGCATCACCGCTGCAGCTGCTGCTTCTGTTGCTCCTGCTCCTACTCCTGCTGCTCATACAAGCCCTACTGAGGTCCTACTGGTACTAATCGTCCTAGTACCAGTAGTACTAGGACAGCAACTACTAATCCTTACTACTGCTGCTGCTCGCGCTCCACCTCCTCCTCCTCCTCCTACTTCTACTACTATTACAACTGCTCCTCCTACTCCTCCTACTACTTCTACCACTACTACTCCTGCTACTACTACTACTACTACTACTACTACCACCACCACCACTACGACTACTACGAGTACTACTGCTAGTAGTCCTACTAGTACTTCTACTACTCTACTAGCACTGCTACTACTACAGCTACTAGTACCATTACCAGCTTCCCTGCGTTGTGCAGGCCACGGCGGCATGCGTGCTGAGAGGTCGATGCTAAGTGTTGGAAACTGACATGTAGAAATTAGAAATTGCAAAACCAGAGGGACTAGGGCAGTGGGAATCCTTTGGAGTCTTCGCAGCAAAGAACTACCAACTGATGGTTTACGGCTCTGTCTACTCGAGTAGTGCTCGCGAATGTTGTTGCAACTGGTGCTCGCATTTGCTGGCGCGATCCACTGCAGCAGGATCTTTGGTTGCAAATTTGCTCTTGCTGCCCGGATTCTTCAACAGGTGCCGCATGCTGGAGCGGCTTCAGATTTCTGGCAGTTGGATGTCTGACCGGCATCTGACCCGTCGGTGGATCTGAAGTCCTCCTCCTCGAGACCAAAAGAGAAAATCATCACATTGATCTGCATTTGCACTATTCGTCTCTGCAGCTGCGGCCGGGGATTTGCATATCCTGGTGGCCGATCCAGATCGTGCTCGTCGGTCCTGCCAACGTGCGCTGCTGCAGCGTGCCATCTATGCAGTAACGATGCGTGTCAAACATAACAGTTACAGTAGCTTCTCTATTACGACATCGACGGCAGCGATGTGTTTTTTCTCATCGTCTTGATGGGAAGTTCACGCATGCTCCTGGGCTGTGGCGTCTCTCCGGGTCGGAGCTGGGAAAGAAGCTCGGCGACTTCTCGTATCCTTGGAAATGGCATTAATATGCAGACGGAGCCTGTAGTAAACATCCAAGAACTCAAAAATCAATCGATCCAGATGCCATACACAAAACGATGCCAGATGCTTTTGGCGATTTCTATCCAGAAGACAAGCACAGTGTCCAGAGTGCACACCAACATCCGCCAGTGCTCTCGTGCTGCTGCTGCAGCTACGGCGGCTACGGCTACTGCTGCTGCTACTGGTACTGCTGCTGCTGCTGCTACTACTACTACTACTACTACAACTACTACTACTACTACTACTACTACTACTACTATCACAATGACCACGACGACGACGACGACTACAACTACTACCGCTACTACCGCCATTACTACCATTGTTTGCCACAGCTACTTCCACGATCACCCCCTCAACAAGTGGCACCTCCTCCTCATCCTACTGCTACTCCTCCTACTACAGTTCCTCCTCCGCCTCCTCTTGCTCCTACTGCCTGCGACAACGACGACCAACTTGTTCTGACTGTCGGGGCTGATACTGATAGCCTGTCCGACCATGGCTCTCAACAACACTGGCCGAGCAGCAGGCATGCTACCAGTAGGATGCTCTCGCTGCCGCGTCTTGCTCGGTCGCCTTATCGGCTTGGACCTTGCAAGGTCTTGTCCCTGCCAAGCAAGCGGATGCATGTTCACGAAACGAACCTTTCTGTGTCACATGGAAGAGGCGGAAACACTTTCTAAAGGCAGCCCTTCAAAGTAGTTTGTCTCGGTTGTCCCAACAGCGTGCATCTGTGCATAGCCTGTCGGTGAATATGTTAAAACTGGCAAGCCGAAGTAGGCACAATACGTTGCTGATGTTGGTGATCATGGCTATGAACCTTATGAACCTCCGTGTGTTCTTCGTCATCATCATGGGCATCATACCTCGCATCATCAAAACATTCACCATCGAATCGTCGTCACCTTTGTCTTCTCTGCAAGCTCGCAATGATGATGGACCGCCGCCTCCACCACCGCCACCCCCATTCGGACCACCATGTCGAGTAAGTTCGCTGAACATCCGGGAAACCGCTCTGGAACTTTCGGGGCTTCTTAATAAAAAGAAAACCAAACTTTCCGACATGAACTTAACTGTCTATGAGGCCTCTCCCTCCGCAAACTCTGTACATTAACAGTGCGTTGGCTTGCATCTTTACACAATGGCTGAAGACTGGTGGGAAACTTATGGAAACTTGACATATGGACACGACCCACCACCTGATTAGCCAACATCTCCTCTGCCACTCTCGCCGGAACCTGCTCTTCTTTCATCGCATCTTTCGACGGAGCTTTCCCCGCGCCGTCCTGTGCCAGAAGACAGTTGTGAACCCAAGCTGCTAACTATTTGGGCCTTCATAGTTAGAATAGGGTCTGGGGATCCTTTATAGGATAATTATGACAAGGATCCCTCAGGAATAATATTGGTATTTATTTAAGCTTCTGCATTACACCAAGCCCCCAAAAACGCAGACCTATGATTGCTAGACCCCTGGTCCTTCGTATCACCGACCTTTTTGGCAGAGCTGCGCCGGCGGCGCTTTGTGGCCTCTTCATGCTGCGCGTGGAACTGTCATCGATAAACCATGGGTAGCGTGACAAGTGCACAAGCAAAAGATTGAAAACATATGAGCTGGAGGATTTTTACATAACAGGTACAGTGCATTGTAGTAGCTCCACGGCAGAATTGTCAGTTTGCCTCGCGGCTGGGCTTGGCACCTGGAGCCTCGTCATGCTCTGCCTTAAAATCACTGATGGTGGTGGGCAGAAGACAAGATGCAAGGCCTAAACCCCCAACCCTAAACCCACGGGCAAAAGATCTCTCGCAGCATCGCAAGCCAGGTGGCGAGGTCGGGCACATCGCTCTCAATGCTGTCCATGAGATCATCGGGCCAACCAACCTGCGATTATGGGACCACCATGAAAAGGCAGACACGATGCTCGTGAAGCATTCGCAAAAGACAGTCAGGTGTGCGAGGTCAGCCCCGCTCGTTCGCTAAGTACTGTCATTCAGGCAACTCAGCGGGCAAGACCACTCCACGCGAGCCACACGTTCTGCAGCGGTCTCAGATTAACAACAAGACCCCCAGTCTGAATGCGATCTCACGGACCTCATTTGCGAAGAAGTCCGTCTCGGAAGGAGTTTGAACAACAGGCCCCGATGTGCCGCTGCGCCTGGGATTCTGAGAGCTTCTGGGAAGAGCTTGTGCCTCTACGGCATGAAACATCTTGCATGGGATTCTGAGCCGCTGTAAGCTTTGCAGCAATGCAATAAAATCCTGCGAAACTTACCCGCAACAAGTATCGGCTGCTTTTGATGTCTAAGTCTCGGCTGCCCTGGACCATCTCGAACTTCCTGTGATCTAGGCTCCTCGCATCGCTCTTCTACAGCTCATAAGCGCTTCAAAAGTGTATCCGTCTGCGGCCACGTCACCCCCTCCTGCTTCCCACGGCCAGTCTTCCAAACCTAGGCACTTTCTATCAGCAAGCATAGGGCCAGTAACATCCGACCACACGCAAACAACAGAATCCTAATCTTTTCCGCGATCTTTTCAGCACGCTGAATCTGGAATTACTTGTGTGAAGAGTCTGCCATGTCAAGCACCAATGGCAGAAGACAATCCACCACTGTGGCCGTGGGGTGCTCTGCAAGTGCTCATATTTGTTCTTCTCGTTTTTAGTTTGGTTGTGACTAGTTCCATAGATATAGTTAGAATCTTGATGATGATTATGAGTACGACTCTTATTCATATGAGAAGGCAAACTTCGACACCAGGTTTCTTGTCGTTAGCACAGGGCCCAGATCACACCAGCAGGAGCCAACCGGCCGTCAGTGACTGTTCTACGCAATGGAAAACATCAAGGGTGAAACGCTACATAAAATGATGGATCATGTCTCTATAATATGCGTATGTATGGCCTTTGGGGAAGGAGGCTGGGATATGCTTTCTCCGCCTGGTACTTCGGGCTTTTGAGAGGCCTGGACACCGGAGAGGCCCGGTGTGAGATCTGGCTCCGGATCATCCTTGGATGGTTCCTTTGGTGAGTCGAGGGGATTCAGGGGGAAGGAGGTCTCCGAGACCCCACTGCCAGGAGTGAAGGGCTCCGGTGGCTGGTAAGTCCTGCGATGAGCCTGGCTCCTGACCGAGCGTAAGTCCTCTTTGATCTCGGTGAGCATGTTCTGCACTGCTTTGGTGGCCAGGTAGGCCTTACGAGTTGTGGCAGGCGGAGCAAAGGAAGGGTGCGGCTTTCCCCCTCCCGCTGCTGCATGCATCATTAGATTGGGCCAAGGGGCTGCCACAGCATCGGATTTGCTGATGTCGCCACGCATTTTCAACAAGCCGTGCAACAGCTCTGCAAGTTGCAGTGTGCCACTGCCGTCAGCATCTATAATCTCAAACATGTTGGCACGATCGGGTGGCAAGTCCAAGTCGTTCATCAGCTTTTGCACGCTCCTGTCCTGGATAATAAGCAGGAACATCTCCTTGGTGATTTCCATGTCATGCATTCCGTCCTGGGCAAACAGCCTGCTCGGCTTGTTCAGCTTCATCTTCGCTAGGCGCCTTCCTGTGTCGTCGTCTTCTTCCATTTCATGAAACGTGTTGTACGCAGCCTGGAACTTTTTCAGAAGCTCCCTTGTTGCCCGTGCAACGCGAACAGACTCCCGCGAGTATTGCTCCGCAGTGACTGCATCGTTCTCCTTCGCGGCCTTCATCGTGATATCAACGTAAACAGCCAGAATTACATTGAAGATCCCCATAGAGACGAGCATGTAGCTGATGACGTAGGCAAGCACAAAGGGCAGTCCATATGCCTCTTTCAACTCAATAAGAATTGGGTGTCCAAATTCATTTGTGCACTCCCCTGTGAAGCAACGGAACGCAGTGAACATTGTCTGAGGAATGTCCGAAAAGTAGCTATCGAGATTAAGGTCTTTCGTCCTGCTGTCAGAACCGATAGTAATGGCTGCCAGTCCGGAAATCACATAGAGGACCCCAAAGAGCAGCAAAAAGGCAAGACTGAGAGTTCGCACTCCTGCGATCAGGCCTTTCACCATCAGCCGGAGATCCCTCATTGCTTTGATTCGGAAGACTTTGACAATCCGCACCAGGCGAATCAACCTGCAAAACCTGAGAAGCGAAGTGCCATTTGCATCAATAATGGTGTCGTCGACGACCGCCTGGAGGATCGCGTCGGCAAGCCCAGTTGCAGCAAGGAACACATCAAAGTAACTCCAGTAACGGTCAGGGCCACACCAATAGTTGCGACATCGCATAAAATACATGCGGACTCCTATCTCCAAAAGTAGTGTACATGTAAATGCCGCTTCCAGCGCCGGCCAGCCACTCCAGTCCTCGTTACCTGGATGAGTTTGCAGACCTATCATTACTCCATTGGCGACGATGAGAAGGGCTACTAGTGGCTCCATGATGGTCATGATATTTATGCGCTCTGCAGGCCCAGCCAGATCGTTAATTCGCACGAAAGTCAACTCTGCCACAAGCCGATTGGTGTCAGCCGCCAGCAAGATTTCCTTCAATGCCCGAAACTGTTGCATGCGCTTTACGCCAAAGATCTTCTTATGGACCTCACCCTCGGTCGCAAGCAATACCTCCATCAATGCTTGCGCTGGGACCACGTTGAAGTTTCGCATAGGCTGCAAATCCTGCACGGTTGTCAGTTTCTGCGTCACACTTTTCTTCAACTGTGGCCCATGAAAATCCGACTCCACCTTTTCGGGCCATGCCCACACCGGCCGGAATTCAATCTCGTCACTGGCGAAAAACCCCAATTGGATTCCGGCATGCTCCGGCGTCTCATCTGTGTCCATAGCCTCCTCGGCCAGGGCAGGTAGTCATGGAGGTCAATGCGAAAACGACTGCTAATCCTGATCTGGACCAGTTAACATCGTCTCTCTGGTCTTCGTGTACATCGTCGTATGCGCCGTGAAACAGCTGAGCAAAATGCGGTTTCATCACGACTACCTTGCATACTGCGTGCTTACGACGAGTTAGGTGAAGTCCGGTTTAGCCCCTGTTTAGAATGTCGACATGCGGATGAAAGCCGTAAGTCGGAAAGGTGGCATTCCTTGCCCCCACTTTTCGTGATGACCCTGAAAGGTTATACTAGCACTGAGAAAAAACTTGTGGCTTTCCTGCTTACACTTTGGCCCGACAAGGCAGCCTTGCAGGCTCAACTTGGCTACCTGCTTCCGGCTAGGAATTGTGTACACTAGCTCAAGCTTACCTGCTGTGCACGCTGTTCGAGTTTGGACTTGTTCGGATACGGTCCACAATCCACTGGCCTTGCCCCTTTGAGACGTGCTTTGCCCGATTTGAGAACAGATTCGATTGGTTGCTCTGTGTTCAGGTAGCTGTTGGTGGTGAGACCTGCAACGAGACGTGTGCTTTCCATAATTTTCGTCAATGCTTGCTGTTTCTCTTGGCTGAAGCTCAATCACCTTCCAGCGGCCACGTTGGCCGCAAAGAGAGACTCTCGCCGAGGGCCACATGCGCAACTTCAGAGTAAGCGCATCACCCTCAGTTGCTCCCCTATCAATCTGAAACTCCCGACTTTGGCCCCAAAGGGCCACCTGTTTTCGCACAGAAGTTAAGTTCTGCTACTATTTCGGACTAGGGACTGGACAAGAGGACCTAGCCGGCTTCGCACTCGATGACGACTGAGAAGAGTCAGTTGTAGTGTCTAGGTTATCAGGTGTAGTGCTAGTAGCATGCATGCACCAACTAATGTGCCACTACCACACAGCCTTCCGAGGCGTCATATGCGTCATCTTCACGACCACCATCAGCGTCCCAATGAAAAACTCAAGTGAGATCGACAGTATGACAGCACAGAGACGGACAAAGAGCTTTCCAGGCTCTGGCGCTTCCTGCGTACTGGTGAATCTCGACCCGTAGGGTAAAATGACAGGATGAAATCCACGCAGTCTAGCTGGGATCTTCCGAACATTAGGGTACCTTAATTTGGGGTCCTTATAGTAAGGATTCCATTATTTAGGTCCCCTATTTTCGGAAACCCCCAGCTGGCTTGCCCGGTTGAGGCCGCGTGGATTGCTTCGGCTTGTCTGCCAGGCAGGGCCAAGCACAGGTTTCGGGCTTACGATGGAATGTGCCGCGCGGCGAAGCCTTCGGCAAAACGCATAAAGAATACTAGACTTACGAGACATCAGCCGACAATGATTGTCATGCGCCGGCTGAAACGCGAAGCTGAGGACCCAGCGAAGCTAAGTTTGATGAAGTCTGCCAGCAAGTTCACGAACTCATTCATGTCCTCCTCTGTGTAAGTTGTGAGGCCCAGTGTAGAAACCGCATCATGGATAAGCTTGCCTGAAACCATTGTCTTAGAGGACATAGCTCCAAGACGCCATCTCAATCGATAGCGGACTGTGCGAGCCTCTTCCGGAGTGAGGTGTGCGAGAACTGACCGGAAGATCGTTGAGGAATCGCCGTGAGAAATGTGGTCACTCTCCATGGAGCTTGAAGTCATGGAGACTAGGTTTGCGTTGCGCAAACCATCACCCAGGCCGTTTGTCTCACTCCTTACGACCCGGCTGGTCGAATGTGCTGAGCTGTGCGAATGAGTCACACTGCTGCCTTTGCTATTTGCACGTGATATCGGGCGGCTTGTCGGACGGCTACCCGCACGGCTGCTCGCCACTGAATGTGCTTTGGTCACCCTGTGACTGAGACCTCGGAGAGCCCCCTCTGTTGGGGGAGCTTGGAGTGACTCATAGGCACTTACCAACCTTTCGCGAAATTCATCACACAGCCTGTCTATGGTGTCGGCGAAGTCACCATGTTCCATGGCCCTCGCAACGACCCGGCTAGTCCCGACTTGTCTCAACAAGCATTGCACGGGATCGAGACAGGCGCTTGTGCCAACAAACAAGACCATGCATGTATATTGCTTGCGACGTCATGCATGGTCGAGCGGCTGCAGCTAGCTGCTGGGCGTAGCATACGCAGGAGCTTTACTTGCGAACCTGTCTGAGGTCAGGACCGCCGCTTGCCGTGACCTCCTTACCACACGAACCAGATCAACGCAAGCATCCCGATTGCAGTCCGACCATCGTCCAAGCTTCGCATGTGCGGCCTTGGGATCCGCCTGCACGTGCATGACAAAAACAAGAGTCAGTGCTCGGAGCACGACGGCTAATTAAACTTGTACATCCACAGGACAATGCAGCGAGGAGAAGGTCTTTGACCCTAGACTCAGGACTGAAAATCCTTCGTAAGGAGCATTTTTTTCGGACTCCATGAACTCCTTGTTTGAGGTGTGCCAGAGCAGTAGAGCTTTTTGTGCACAATTACCATCCTGAACCCCCTTTCCAGCCCTTCCTTGCAACACGGGGCCAGCCTGCGAGCCGGCCATTTCATTGCGCGCATACCTAAGGGGAGAAGGTTTAGGGTTTAGGGTCTAGGGTTTAGGGTTTAGGGAAGCAGATCCCTTAGTTAGGAAAGTAAGGGACTTGGTAAGTACTGGGTGTGGTTTAAAAATAACTTTGCGGAATTCTTTTACTCATATGATCCAACCTCAAAGTTGCTTCTGCAGCTGTGCGTCTTCTTGGCCATTGCTTTCAGCATTGGACGAGAAATATGAATGCCCTTGGCTCTCCATGTCGTGGGCTGAACTGGACATGTCCAGAGGATGAAGGTAACCTTGTGTGACCCAGTCACTTGCAGCGCGGCGATTGCCCCTGCAGCCTTAACAGTGTACTGCTGCACCTGTCGCAATGAGCCAGATGTTGCAGGGAACCAGCCCACGACTCTTCCTGCTGCCTCCTCCTGCGCTCGCAAACCTTTATCAAACCACTCCCGGATTTCCTTCAAGCTCTCTCTCTAGCAATAGCCATAGCAAGAGTAGTGTCAGCAGCAGTGCCCAGCAGTCGAACAAATATCACACACTATACACACTTGCACCGCACTAACTTCAGCCAGCGTGAAAAGCCAAACTTAATTAAACAGAAATGCACATCAGCAGTCCTCCTATCGCTTCGGCCAGTGCGAATGCCACGAAGTATCTGGAATAAATATACGGACCAATGGCCACATCAACTAATTATTGCAAGGAGCAATCCTCAGCCAGCAACATCCGTTTGTTCCACTTGAGCTACACATGCACCTACCTATTAATACCAATCACTTCTAGTTACTTTGGCTTGGGTCGCAGCACGAAGTGACCCCAAGGCCACCCCAAACCTTTGAAAGGGCTTTCATAAAGTAAAGGATCCGCCCCAGGGCACAAGGCATCCTGTCGTTGGCGACCCGCGCGTATTTGTGTTTCATGGCGAGACACAGATTGATTGGCGTGCTCCTGCTCCAAAAAACCGCTCAGCCCTGAAGCCAAACTTGTACAGTATTTATCAAGCTGTGCCACCTTCGCGGAGACGTGTCGGGGCGGTTTTGCAACGCAACATTTCGCGGAATGGTGTGCTGCGGGCTCATTGTGTATAGTGTGGCCTTTCTTGGACAACTTCCGCAAATCACTGACTTTTGACGAGACTCGACTCATTTGCGGCTACTTCCATCTGTCGTCTTCTCACAGCAGTCACGTCCACCCACTCACACATGGCATCTTGCTACCAGTCTTAATTTAACTGATTAAAGCCCTCTCGCGCAACATGCTATGCCGACGCGAAGCCGTCTCACAAGCACTTGGCCGCCTGCCTCGTCGGAAAACTCGAAGGTTTCCAGAAGCGTCCGCAAGTTTCCCAAGCAGTGCTCCACTTCACTCATCTGCTTACCTCATCTAAGGATCCAACATGTTTACTGCTTTGGACACATGGCTCCCATCTCAGACGCTTCCCTGCAAGTCAACTTGTCCGGAGGCCAGGCAGCTAATGTGAGACGTTGACAACGCCTTCCGCAGCTTCTTCAGCTCTTGCAGCAAAACCTTTCCTCGAGAGCAGGATCACGAAATGAAAGAAATCTCCGAAAGTGCTGGCTCGCTGCCGCGGTGATGATATATGCACTAGAAACAGATTGCATCTGTACGAGTACCTACACGCAAGAACACAGTCACCTAAGCAACTCAACATTTAGAAACCAAACTCATACACGTGCAACACATGACTATACATGTGGATGTGTATAAGCGGTTACAAGTGTAACCCGCTGTAGGATCGTTTATCACATTTGAAGACAATCTATATGTACATAGTTCATGCTACCTACCCATCTGCCTACGTAGCTACCAACGCAACAACACCTACCGTGCCTGCCTGCCTGCCTCCTGCCTGTCTACGTACAGATACACATGCACACATACGGGTACACATTAACAAACATACATACATACATACATTCATCCGTTCATGCGCACATACCCGGTACATTGAGAAGGGCGCCAACGTGCTGCCTTACAGTGCGTACGAAAAACTGTGCCCTGGTCCGCAACGATGACTTCTTTACGGGTTTAGCGGACTTGAAGGCACATGCAGAAACTCGCATGATCAAGGGCTTGCGGCCTGTGTTGGATGGGAGAACTTGGATCTTTGTCAGTCAGAGGGCGTTTCTTGTCCTCCTTGGGGTCAACGCCGCGCTGTCGGATCCTTGCACACAGCTCTGGAGTTCAACTTCGGTTGTGCAGCTCTCGTGCTTGACGTCAATTCAGACTTTGCTAACGTTCGGAGCTCAAGCTTCGGCAGTTGGGCCTGGATCTCTCCTGCCTTTTTTCTGCTCTGCGATCGGAAGCAACCAACGCCAATTTTGCCAAGGCACCTCTCGTGCCTCAGTTAGCGCGTGACCCGCTCAGTTACGGGACCCATCTTCTGACAACAGGACAAACGTCGGACACATGAAGCACAACACTAACTTAAACAAGCAATATAGCAAAGGTCGTCTAACTGCGCGGAATCGAATTTCGTTGAACAGCCTGAACCTGGAGAGCCTAAACCAGAAAGGAACCAACCAATCCAAAAAAAGTATTGCAGGTGCATAAGATTGAAACTGAGAAGCAGCACTCGGCGGAGCTCCGCCAAACGCAGCAGGGCTTCTCGCACGCGGATTGCCTGGCTCATCGCAATTTAGGATTCGCCTTTCTGCGTCTAGTGCTTAGAATGGCCTTGGTCACCGCTGCATAAGCTCTTACATGTGTGCGCGACTTCGGCTGCCATCATTGCCACTATCCTTCCTGTCACCAACGACATGACTTACGGTCCTATCCTAAACCCTACAGTATTGCACCCTGAACCCTAAACCCTATATTATTGCACCCTTTTTTACACAGGCTTGAGGTATTGCACCCTGAACCCTAACCCCATGATATGGAAGCTTCAACTCTCAAGCAGCTCTGAGGTTCCCACATCCACGGCATTTCTGGGCGAGCAGAGCTCCAGCGCACGATCTAAGCTGTAGAGATCTCCGACTCCGTAGGAAGCTGTTGAAGAGTTCACTGCTGGATATGCAAGGATGTCGACTCTCGGAGGGCTTAAATAGGGTTTAGGGCAAGGACTTCAGGTTTTTGCCATTCATGGCACGATAGCACCCAAGGTTGTCAGACCTGCACTGATCATCATCGCTATTCAATTAGATAATCTCCATACCATGTCGTACGACACCTGCATAAAACACTGCATTGTATAACGTTTCTTGGTAATTGCTATGCTCACTGGTCTGTGCTGAGATCGTCGACTCTTCGCACCGAGTCGCCATCGGGGGTGGAGTCCAAATCCACACCTCAGCTGCCACGCACGATGAACACACACGTTCACGAACACATCCACGTCCATTTACCTGCTTACTTACATCCTTACTTCACTATTTGACATAGACCGGCCGACAGAGATCGATCGACAAATAAACGGCAAGCAGGGCGAGAGACAGACAGACAGAGCGTGGGAGTGAGTGCGGGAGCGAGGGAGTGAGTGAGTGGGTGCTTTCGGTCTAAGGCTAGGGAAGTGAAGCCAACACGTCCGTCCGAAACCGGCGGTTCGGTTCGGTTGGATAGCGATGCAGGGGGTGGAGGAAGGATCACACGCTGGGACGGGAGTTGCACAGAGAGGTTCGCTTTGAATCGCAATTCGGTTCGGCGGTTCGTGGCTCCCGTTGTTCATTTGGATGGACTGTTTGTGGCGGTTCGGTTCCGGTTTTCTCGGTTCGCGGCTTTACCTGCACAGAGAGGTTCGTTTTGAATTGCAATTCAGTTCGGCGGTTCGTGGCTCCCGCTGTCCATTTGGATGGACTGTTTGTCGCGGTTCGGTTCCGGTTTTCTCGTTTCGCGACTTGACCACATAGAGTCATAGAGTATAGATGGTTGTGCGCTGTGCGTTCTGCGCCCCCCCACTCCCGTCCCCCCCCCCCGATCGATGGTATCCCCCCCCACAGGCTGGAGCTTTAGGCGTTGTGCAGAGGGCCCCTGTTCCACAGAGAGTGTGGGGAGGGGCGATGATCGCTTGCACAACATTGCACAACCATCGGAAGAAGGCCTAAACCAAACCACCCAACCATTCCACACACAAGCTCAAGGCCTAAAGGCCCAACCATACATAGATGGACCACTGGTCGCCATAAGCAGGGCTTCGCCAATTTAGGTGCCGGCGAGTTGCCCATGATCTGAAGGAAATGCTTGACTTGCTTGGTCTCCTGCGACAGCCCGACTTCTTTGCTGATGAAACTGATTTCTTCTAGGAAGTCTGCTGTCACGAAATGTCACGAACTAAGCACAGCATTTCGGAGTGCACGATTTCGAGCCTTTGTCGCTTCTAAGACCAGTCGGGCGATACATCTCAAGCCTTGGCCAAGCAGGGATTGCGGCAACTAGAGTTTGCCAACAGAATTTCGTGCAGGGAACATGTACAACTGCCGTCAAGCACTAGACTGGAGTGACTCGGTGAATAGAGCCCCTCCCAGAAAGAGAGCAGACAGAGGAGCAGCGCCGGCATGATGCTTTGACATGCCGTGACGCAAACGGCTTAGATTCTTAATTTTTGTGGTCGGAAGAAGATCATCGAAATCTTGATTGAGACCCGAGAATGTGCCAGGGACCCGGCTGCTCAGGTTCACTGGATCTGGGACCGGGGCTTCCTCGGAGGTTGAGGAATGGAGGACGAGGCCAGCGCAGGACACGAAACAGAACATGGCATGACTCTCAATCCTTTCTCGCTCTCTTGCTTGCTTGCTTCGGAGAGGGGCTCCAGTCTGTACTGCGTCCTGCGCACGTCGGCGTGAGACTTCTGGGGATTGTCCCCTGTGACACCCTTAACCCAGCCTCAAAGCCTCCCCCATCCCGAACCAAACCAAACCTCGCGTAGCACTGGCTGGCACCTACCTGCCTGCCTGAAAACCCCGCCCTGAACCTTGGGTCCCTATACGGAGCTTCGTCCCCCGTTTGCAGCAGCAGGAAGGACAACAAACAACCTTTTTTCTCGCTCTCTGTCTCTCTCTCTCTTTCTTTCACCAGGGCTAGGGGCAAGAGAGGCAAGCCCCCCTCACCCGCGCGCGTAAAGCGCCCCCGACATGTGGGGAGCGACTGGTGAGATATGCATGCGACAAAGAGGCAGAGGTGGCCGGTGAAAGTAAGATGCGCTGAAATAACATTAACAAAAAGATGCATCATAGCTACCACGGAATAAAGAAGCAAAAGAAGGACTTTCGCACCTCAACTTCAACTCACTGCCGGCATGAAAGAGGGGACTGTGTTTCGTGCCACGTTCTCCTTCAGCTTCTATATCAGAGTACGAGAAATAAGGAAAAACCCTGAACGACCCCCGCCGAACCTACTGAAGACAACGAACCTGAACTGAAAGAGCAGGGGCTATTCCCCTGGGGCACTGCCACATCGAGGCTCGCCTCAGTTGGTGGCCTCAGTACACAGTCCTGGAAACATGGCATTCGGGGATCACGGCTACATTCAGTAGACATCTAAAGTACAGTAAAGTCATCAAGACAAAATTTGCACTCGGTAAGGAAAGCGTAGTTGATGGCACAGCGGCCCGTCAAAGTATAATACAAGTTGACCTGAAGGGGGAGACCCCCTCAGCGCTATGGTACA